ATCTCCAAGCCGGCTCCGTGGCCTTTGACTACGGGGAGACTTCCACGGGAGGAAAGGGAATTTACCACCAGCGAAGCATTCCAGTCAAGGATCCACTGAGGGGAGCAGACAGGTCTTTTTAATCCACAGGAGGGTCTGGAACGCCTGCAGGCAAGTATTATAAAAAGGGGTACCTGATCCCATTTGGATCAGAAGAGGGAATTGATCAACCCCTGGAAGACAAGGCGGCGTCCTAAAGTCTTCAATAGGTAGGATTGTGTGGGAGGTTAAACCATCGCAGTTCCTGATGAGTGGCCGTTGAAATTCCGGGGCTCCAGGTCGATGGTAGTGTGTTAAGGTAGAATGGGAGGAAAACAGACTAAGGAGGGCGTTGGTCAGATGCCACTCCAGTGTATGTTGGCAAACTTTAAAAAAGGGTTTAGTAGGGATTATGGAACTCCAAGACCAAATCCAGCCATGTTAAAAAGATTCTGTGAATCTGAATGGACTACCTTTGGCGTAAGGTGGCCCAAAGAGGGGTCAGCGCACCCAGAGCTCGTGGCACGGGTTCATCAAATTGTGACTGGAAGAGGTTATTGGGACCAATATCCTTATATAGATCAATGGCAGATTAATATTACAGAAAAGCCTAAATGGTTAGCTAAGTGTCAAATAGAATGTGCAAAGATATATTTGGCAACCCAAAAAGCAAAACATCAGAAACCTAAGATTCTGAGCCAGGAAGACAGGGAGGAACTTGCCAGACTGGCTGAAAGGGATGAAGTCCACCTTAAACCAGAAGCCGGAGCAGAGGAACAGATAAAAACAGAACAGGGAGTTCAAAACCAAACACAGGACTTGGATAGAGATGAAAGAGAAACACCAGTTTCTAGCAGAACAAGAAATAAAAACAAAACTAAACCAAAGATAGAAGAAATCATCACCCCATTAAGAGAAGTTTTAGTTCCTGGACCAGACAACTCAAACGTCTCAATGTTGCAATACGTTCCATTTACAACTACTGATTTATTAAATTGGAGGCAGCAATATGGGCCATTTTCAGAAAAGCCTCAAGAGATAATAGATTTATTTTCTAATATTATTCAAACACATAAACCCACATGGGATGATATGCAACAACTAATTTCTACAAGGAAGGGAGAAATATAAGTTGGCTAAATTAAAAGTGTTAGCCAGAAGACACCCAGAGGGAGGAGCTACTTATCAAGAAGACAGAAAAAATGCAGCTTGTGAACAGAGGCCAAGCTGGCAAACTAATAATTTACAGCATCAAACATTGTTGCAAAATTATAGGCTGCTCTGCTTAGAAGCATTGAGGGAGGCAGCAATTCGTCCAGTTAATTATGCCGCAGTAACTAGTATTTGGCAAGAAAAAAATGAAGCACCAACAGCTTTTCTCAGCCGACTGATAGAAGCTTATAAAATAAATACTGGACTTGATATGGAGTTGGCACAAAACCGCCCACTCCTAATTGAAAGATTTATTACCCAAAGTGCCCCTGACATAAAGAGAAAGTTACAACGTACAGAGGGGGCCTTAGGGAAAAATATTGCAGAGA